TATAAATCCTATCTCTTATAATCCTTTCCAACACTTTACCCACAACCAGCCAGTGGAATAGGAAGGAGTTCCAGCTACTAGTGGGACTGAAATTCAACCCCTTTGGTTCCAATGAGGTAAACCTACAAAAGAATGTTCCCAAAATAAAATTGGAAGCAGTGTGGAAAAAGTGCAGCTGAGCTCAAAGTCAGAATCAACCTCTCAAGTGCAGTTACCAGTTGGGAGTATTAAATTGGTTAATTATTCTTATCATGTTCTATGAAAATCAAACAGTATTACAAAATACGTAGAGCAGGCGAGGACAGCGACAGCTGTGTGTGTGCACAAGGGGGGCGACTGTTGGGACAAAGGGCGCTCAGAAGCTCTTTCGTTTACCACACAAGCTCCTCCATCAGTTGATTTTTAATCAGTGGCAGATCCCTTAAGGATTCGCAGCTTGACCACGTCCAATTCACCCCGATTGGAATTCACAACACTGGACTTTCCTTGGCTTGGGGAGGGGAGGGGGGGGCGGGAATGAGCCAGGTATAAGCGATGGTACATGTTGTCTCGTCAGGTCTTTTTGCTACGACAGTATACCTGGGGGGAGGGGAACATGATGGACGTCACGTCAAATGGGTTTTGTGATGGAGCTGCGTTCTCTGGAGGCTGCAACTGGTCAGTCATCTGCTGGGGGGAGGGAGGAGGAGGGAGAGGGAGAGAGGATGCTGCCTAATGTAATCTGATCTTTCAAACATTTACACACACACACACATACATTCCACACACACACACATACATTCCTTGTCAAAGAAAGTGTCAGTGAACACACACAAGGCCATATTTATGGGCGATAGGATGTCTTCATGTAGATGGGTATAAAGGTCCCACTGGAAGTTTTAAATAACTAAGCAAATGCCATGTTAACAGCGAAGATGCCAAGGCGCCACACGCGGTTAAACCTCCCTCCCTTATTCTCCATTTCCAAAAGTAATGACTTGCCCAAACAGGATCCTAATATTTCTGCCACATTTCTGAGACTCTCACGAATCCACACCAGACTTCACAACAAAGCGCAGAGCTGCACTCAGGAGAGCAGTAAGTAAATAAAAACAATTCTGATGCTTTATACTTTGCGGTTAAATAAGATGTCCATTCGAAACTCTTACCTGTAATGTTGGTAAGATTTTTTTTGGTGGGGGGGTGCGTGGAGAGACTGGGATCGCTTGAATTGCCCATTGGATAATTTGTGGAAGGTTGGCTCCTCCCTCCTCCTCCCTACCTTCGGTCAAAAGTTCTAGCAAGGGACTGAAATGTTTATGTGGGTCTAGGTTGTTACTTCCTGTTTTCGCTATCGGTGTGGTATCTCTCGTGTCCACTTTTTTTGAAAGTAAACAGTAGAATTAAAATAATAGAGCACTTCCTGCTTTGAGCTGTTTTACAGAATGACTAGAAATTCGGATTTTGACCAGCTGGTTCAAATTCCTGAATCAGAATATGTGCACGACTTCCAATGGAAAAATAATTTGATTTCATAATTTAGGCCGAAAGATGTGCAAGTTAGGTCGATTCATGATACTAAATTACCCATAGAGTTCAGGGATATGTAGATATGTTAGCCATGGGAAATGCAGGGTTATAGGGATTAGTTTTGGGTGGGATGCTGTTGGGAGGGTTGGTGTGGACTCGTTGGGCCGAATGGTCTGTTTCCACACTGTAGGGATTCTGTGGACTGAAATAAAAGTAAAATACTGCAGATTCTGGAAATCTGAACTGAAGAGTCATACTGGAGTGTAAACAACAGCTCTATTTCTTTCTTCACAAATGCTGACAGACCTGCTGATTTTTACCAGCACTTTCTGTTTTTTATTAAAGTTCTTACTACAGCCCTGGGGAACAAAACCCTCCGCTCTGGCTTGAGGACTTAAATTCAGTTTAAAAACTGGAAATTAAAAGGCTGACATCAGTAGGAGTGATCGTGAAGCTGTCAGTTTGCAGAGGAACCAATGTCTTCTGGCTCACTACTGTTTTTTTAACCATAAGTAGGCATATGACCCTGGATCCTGTTTCAATCTCCACTTTCTCAGCTTATCCAAATTCCTCCAATACCCAAAAATGTATCACTCTCAGCCTAGGCCAGACATCCAGAATGCTCTGCGGTAAAGAATTCCCAAGATTTACAATCCTTCATATGAACAATTTTTTTTCTTATTTCAATCACAAATTGCCCTTTAGCCTGAGACTCTGCCCTTGGTTCTAGATTTGCCATCCATGGGAAAATACCTCTCCAAATTTACTTTATAAACCCCTCCAAGAATGTTAAATTGTTTCCAAAGAGATTACTTATTTCTGCACTTTGGGCCCAGGAATTAATCCAGCTCAGGGCGGCATGCTGGCACTGCTGCCTCACAGTGCTGGGGACCTGGGTTCAATTCCAGCCTTGGGCGACTGTGTTGCGTTTGCGTGTTCTCCCTGTGTCTGTGAGGGTTTCTGCTGGGTTCTCCAGTTTCCTCCCGCAGTCTAAAGATGTGCAGGTTGGGCAGATTGGCCATGCTAATTTTCCCTGTAGTGTTCAGGGATGTGCAAGTTAGGTATGGATTAGCAAAGGTAAATGTGGAGTTACAGGGATAGGGCAGGGGGCTGGGATGCTCTTCAGAGGGTTGGTGCAGATGTGATGGGCCGAATGGCCTCTTCCCACTGTAGGGATTCTATGGTAGATCCCAGGAAACAATCTATTGACCCTCGATTGCACTGCCTTGAAGGTAAGTCTGTCTTTCCTTAGGTAAGGAGACCAGAACTGTTCTCACCACTCCAGGTGTGGTGTTGCCAATGCCTCGTATAATTGTAGCAGGAATCCTTTGCAATAAAGACTAACTATCAAACTAGGGAATTCTTAATCACTGTGGCCTATATATGTCTCCAGTTCTATGTCATTGACTGTGATGATGTAGAGGTACTGATGTTAGACTGAGTGGACAAAGTCAGAAGTCACACAACACCAGATTATAGTCCAACAGGTTTATTTGAAATCACAAGCCTTCGGAGCGCTGCTCCTTCATCAGGTGACGTGCATAAGTCACCCACTTGGTTGCATTCCTTTAGAAGTCACCACCACCATCTTCTCAGAGTAACTAGAGATTGACAGGTATTCCAGATTTGTCTGTAGCCCCCACATCTCATGAATGGGTTTTAAAGAATTCAACCACCATCAAAGGTGGTACTCTTCAATGAATGCCATGGGCACAGCACTTAGACTGGAATTCAACCACAAACAGCAAGAAACGTGGGGCTTCTCCTGAAAAAAAGAATTGTTCACTTTATAAATGAAACTGGATATTTTATTTAACTTAATACCCACAAGAAGAGTTTTGTAGGTTGTAACCAAAATCAAGGCAAGAAGATAATATAACTAAACTGTATCAGAGATAGTAGGAACTGCAGATGCTGGAGAATCCGAGACAACAAGGTGCAGGGCTGGATGAACACAGCAGGCCAAGCAGCATCATAGGAGCCTGTTTTGCCAGCAGTTAATGGTGTTAACTGGGGCAGCATGATGGCTCAGCGTTTAGCACTGCTGCCTCACAGCACCAGGGACCCAGGTTTGATGCCAGGTGACTGTCTGTGTGGAGTTTGCACTTTTACCCCTTGTCTGTGTGGGTTTCCTCCAGGTGCTCCGGTTTCCTTACACAGTCCAAAGATGTGCAGGTTAGATGGATTGACCATGTTAAATGCAGGGGTAAAGGGGTGTGATGGGTCTGGGTAGGATGCTCTTCAGAGGGTTGGTGTGGACTTGATCGGCCGAATAGCCTGTTTCCACACTACAGTGATTCTATGAATTGACTGTGTCCATTACATTGCTTAACACACAAATACTGATAACTCATGGCTTGTTAAAAATATCGACCATTTGTGGTGAGGAACAGAGTTAATGTTTCAGGTCAATGACCCTTTATCTGAACAAGATGTGTATCTGCAGAATTTTTGGTTCTTGTTTCAGATTTTGACTTTTGCAGTGTTTTGGTTTTTTATTAAAAATATTCTTTTCACTAGTGTAGAAAGTAATTGGATCTCTTCTCTGTGCACAAGCAACGAGAGACTGACAATCTAGGGTCTAAACTTCACATGACTTCAACAATTTATACAGGGTATTAGTGAGACCACATCTGGACTACTGTGTTTTGGTCATCGGACTTACAGATGTCGATGCGTTGGAAGCAGTTCAGAGAAGGTTTACCGGACTAATACCTGGTGTGAGCACATTGCATTGAAGGAAAAGGCTAGGCAGACTAGGCCTGTATCTGCTGGAGTTTGGAAGAGTCAGAGATGATCTAGTTGAACTATATAAGATCCTGTCTGGACTTAACCGGGTGGATGTCGAAAGGATGTTGCCTCTAGTGGGAAAATCTAGAATTAGGGGGTCATAGTTTGAAAAAAAAGGGGTTGCCCATTTTAAGACAGAGATAATGAAACATATTTTCTCTCAGAGAGTTGTCAATCTTTGAAGTAGCCTTCCCCAAAAGGCAGTGAATGTGGAATCTTTAAATATTTTTAAGGCAGAGGTAGATAGATTCTTGATTCCCAAGGAGATGAAAGATTATCGGAGATATGCAGGAATATGCAGTTGTGTATAAAATCAGATCAGCCATGATGTTATTAAATGGTGGAGCAGGGTCGAAGGGCCAAGTGGCCTACTCTTATTCCTTGTTCATATCATCTTATGTTCAGTTTCTTGAACATAACGCAAATGGAGGAGTGAGGAGCATAGCGACTGTGCCTGCTTGTGTGTGCTGTGGTAATTTGGTCTTGAGCTCACTCTTAGGCAACATTGGCAGTTGCCTGTATTGGGGACATTATTCATTAAAGTATTAAAATCAGAATGTTGTATTTAAATACGGGTCCATTTGCAACATTCATGCTGTGGAAACACCCTATTTAATTATTTCTTGCCTCAGAGGTCATTGTCTTAACAGTGGGAAGCATGTTGCTTAAGTACTGTTTTAAGGAATACTCAGTTCCATATGGTATTTTGCTGATTTTTTAAATGGTATTTTTTAGCTGCCATGTTGCTCTCATGAACTTGGAGAGTGATATTTGGACACACATGCACTCTCTCAAATTATTGCTCTCCCAACATGGTTGTAATGTTGGTGTTCTGTTTTGTCTGCCTTTGATGCTGTCACGTAATGGGGAGAAGTAACAGCAGGAATTAATATCAGAGGGCTGCACAAGCCGATAGAAGATGGTGCAGGAGGGAAAGCCGTTGGGAGCCGTGCCACGAATGCACAGCCCCACCTCAGCTTTACAGAGAGGCAGAGTGTTCACTTTGACTCCAGTTGAGCCATGCACCAGCCAAGGATTGAAGCTCAGCACCTGACTATCCATCTATGTGACAGTCAAGGTCAGGGTGGCCCTGTGCATTTGTACATTGGGCTCCTTTCAACATCCAGCAGGTGGCATGACTTAACATTTCTCAATGGCTGCAAACCTTGATTAAGGAGGGCCCAGGTGCACTCTTTGTCAGCTGCCAGGAATGTATGACTGCCCCAATGCATAAGCAAAATGCTAGGCATAGTGGAAATCTGAAATAAATGCAAACAAAAAATTAACAGTTCTGGCAGCATCAGTGGAGAGAGAAGCAGAGTGAAGGTTTCAAGTCTGACTTTCCATCAGAATGGAAAATCTCCCGAAATTATGGTGAACACGAGGAGCGCCAGTAACTGGCTTATTAAACGAAAATTAAAACTATGGATGCTAGAGAACTGAATAAAAGCAAAAAGTGCTGGTGAAGCTCAGCAGATCTGGCAGCATCTGTGGAGAGAAACAGAGTTAAAGTTTCAACTCTGTTATGAGAGTTAACTGTTGTTTCTCTGTCCACAGATGCTGCCAGACCTACTGAGTTTCTCCAGCACTTTCTGTTTTCATTAATGACTTATTTAACATTAAGCAGGTGTGGAGACAGATTTAGTTGGGCCACCAAGGCCACATGAGCAGATGCTCATCGGAGCGGGGAAATAATTTCAGTCCAGTTTTTGGTCAATTATGCAAATCAGCTCCAACTAGTCATTTGGCCCAGTCTGTGTTCAAACTTTTGGAAATTTAGAGGAAGAATTTTCCAAACAGTTCAAAACTGCCGGGAAATTTCCTTGCTACATGGGTCCGAATATCTATTCATTAGGAATGCAGAATACTGACTTGGTTTTCTAGGTGTTACATTTGGAGTATTGAATTGAATACTGAAAGTTTGAGAAAGTCAGAGAAGAATGCAGGATCTAATTGAAGCTAGTCCAATTTCCAGACCCATAACTCACAGGGATGAAGGATCCAGCAGTCTCCTGTGTGGGTCTACATTTGTCCCACCTGTTTGTCAGGGCACTAAGGAAACTCATCTGCTCTTTGAATAGTATCACAGAAACCTTTACATCCACCAGAGATCAATCTATCTGAAATACAGCACCTCCCATATTGCAGAGCATTGCTCTGACCAGCCTAGAGTACTTTGTACAGTTTTGGTCTCCTTACTCCTTAAGAAGGAATATACTTACAACTGGGAGCAGTTCCTAAAAGGCTCACCAGGCATGCTTGTACTGCTATTGAGGGATTAAGCATAGTTCCCAATTGCACAGGTCTGTTAGACCTCTGGAAATAGTCTGCCATCCAATATAGTCTTCTCATTGCAGGCCAAGCAAGATGGCAGTGGAAGAGAAAGATTGAAATTTCAAGGGTGAAGGCAAGTCTTCTATGTTTTTGGCTTGCAAATATAGCACTGGCATTATAGTGATGTTTGGATTGACCTTGGTATAAAGAATACCAAGGGGTAATGTTCTGGCTTCATCTTGTTTGCAGGGAGCTTTGTCACTGACATATATATCAGAAATTTCAGAAAGCTCTGTTCATCAAACACCTGAAGTTTTAGGGACATAAACAGCTCTGATCAGATGGCTAACATTCCCTTTCCCGGATGTCACTTTTAAGAGTTCTTTTTGTTGCTGCAATTTCAAATGCCTCTTCATTTATGTTTCATTCTGCGTCACATCTGTCGTCTTCCATTATCATTTATCCTATCTGGACAAACGAATCTGCTTGTTCCAATGTGGCACTGAAACAATTACTAGACAAATTTGCAAATTCTTTGATCTTACCCCTCCCTAAAAGTATATCGTGTCTCTGCTGGCTGCATAAAATAGCCACTTCCGCTTTCTGGCAAGTGGACTTTACAGCTTATAGTGCTTCAGGTGCAGATCCAGGTTCCTTTTAAATAATTTGAGGGTTTCCACCTGAATCACCAAACCAGGGCAAAAGCTTTCAGACACCGACCACTCGCTTAGTGAAAAATTTTCATAATGTTCCTGTAATCCTTCTACCAATCACCTGAAGCCAAGCGCAACAAAACTTCGCTCATTCCTGGGATAGAGGGATTGTCCTATGAGAAGAGACGGAATGGACTGGGTCTTTAGTTTCTGTCCCAAAGTGGGGGATAGGACCCCGATGGGATCGCGAGCTGAGATTTTCTGGCCATGAGCACTGAAGTAGCAATGCCTGCTGTAGAACTCTGACCAAGTTATAACAAGCTGTGCTCCCACACTAGCAGCCTCTCAAAGAAATTTCTTGGCTTTAATTTTAATTGAAAATAACAGCCGCAAACTTCCAGTTCCCATCTGAGTGCGGTACTGGAGTGAGGTAGTTTTCGTTGATCAACTGCTCAATATTGTCTGTCATTGGTTACAGAGTGGGCTTATCTATCAACATATGGGAAAGACATGCAGAAAAGGAGCTGCCGGGCCAGCAAGACTGCGCCCCTCCCATTCCTATTGTCTGGAACATCGTGACTGGATGCTTTCTACTCTGCTCCTCAACTCCACATCCACAATTATATTAACTCCAGGCGTGGACAGACAACAGAAAAAATAAATTCAAGCCGAAAATGGGAAAAGTATTCTAGAAAAGACCCACCAACTCCCTCAGCTGGCCAAAGTTAATGCAGGGACCACATTGAACATGTTGTTGTCACCTGTTAAATGAGTGCTGCTGCCAGGAATTGTCCCAGCTCCTTTAAGGACCGACCTGTGATGTAAACTCTGTTTACCTCTCCACTGACGCTGCCTGATCTGCTGAATATGTGCAGTTTCCTCTGTTTTTCTTTCAAATGTCCAGCAAACGTGTTATTTCGGTTTCGTTGAGCTCAATGATGGTCTAATGTGAATAGACCCAGCTCTTTAAATCTGCATAAGAAACTACTTTTTTTAAAGCTAGGAATCAATCATTTACACACGCCTCTGAAGTGGTTTTAATGCCACCAACATCAGTGCCCACATGAGGGAGCTTCAGTTGGGCTCTGTATTCTAGATATAGTCTAACCAAAGGCTTCTATTATGACAGAATCATGACTTTTACGTGTGCTCAATGTTTCTGCTAGTACAACCCAAAGTCTTGTTTGCTTTGGCTATGGCCTCACTGCATTGATCATGCTCCTTAAATGATTTGTGTCCTTTTCCCTGCTGACTAATTTCAATATAGTGCCCAGTGTTTGAGATTTTTTCAGGTGACAAAATAGAAGTCTCCCTGGCACTTAACAAAGTGTACCTGGGAGACCTATGCTGGGTTGGGGGAGGAATATTTGTTCTTACGTTGAGGTGCAGGATTAAAATGGACTGTTCAAAAAACAGAATTGACTGAGGAATGAATGTGAAAAGATAGATCTTGCAGAACCAACTCAAACAAGATCAACAGATCTTTCAGTAAACAAAATAAACATGCCTCTAAATAAATTAGATTAGTGAGGAATTGAATAGTAAGTGTTCTAAAGTAGCGATGAGAGCCAGGTGGAAGAAATGTATGTCAGCAAAACCTAACATTGAATACTAGTGAAGGAAAACATTTAGTGACCTCTCAAGGCCAGCAAAGCTAAATATAAAAGCAGCAAACTATCGGTAATCTATATTTTAAATTTTACAGATTACAGATTGAAAGGTGCAGCCATCAACACAGGAAACAAAATACCTCATTGAAAGGTCTTGCATCTTAATTGTCCCTATAGAAAACCCTACTCTTCAATGCAAACTCCAAAACAGAAGTTGTACTAGTTCTTCAAACATTGTGCATTAGTTTTGTGCCTGAAAGTGATAAACATGAAGGTCTTAATTAAGAAGAAAATATACATTATTAAGGCGACAAGCTGCATGTGGCAGAACATTCATTGATTGACCTAGCAGGTGGAAAAGCCATTGAAATAATAGGACCTCATTTAGCTGAGGTGGTAGGAAGTAGAGATATTGGAGAGTTTACATCTACAGGTATTTGTGCCACAAGTCCATATGAAGCTTTTGAACGAAAAATTGTTTTTCTGAGTCATACATCCGGAGCATATTTGCGTGAAGGGACGACAGGGAAAAGTAGATGATAAGTAAAAGTATTTCCTGTCTTTGCTCTCCACAGAAGCTGGAAGCAAAAGGAAGAATGCTGAGAGAGAGAGAGAAATGATTGCAACCCAGAGACCTTTAGCATCAGAGACCACGTGCAGAAATATTCCCACTTACAGGCTCTCACTTACAGTCATCAGCACAGAATGAGTCACTCAGATTGATAAGGGTTGGATGTAAGATGAAGTAAAATATGCAAAGAAGCTAGAAGAAGAGGTACTGGAAATGGAGAAACAAGTTAATGATTGGCCAGGACTAGTTGGATACCATACAGGACAAACTGCTGCTGAATTCTGAAGGGTTGAGCGTGAATAAAAAGTGATGCATATTTAAAGATCATTTTGCAGCTAAAGGAGGGGAAATGTTTTTTCAGTATTGTTTAAATAGTAACAGAAGTGTCTGCAGCAGAACTGTTTTTAATCACACAACATGGCCCATGGCCATTTATGGCACTGTCTTGGAATGTCAGGACTGGGAGGCTCAGTGGCATAGGAGATAGATGCCTCACTAAACGAACCACCCAAGAAGCAAATTTACAACCGCTTCATGGAGGAGCCGTGTGTGTAGTGAGACTGAAGCTCAGCTGAAAGGAAGGAAGTTGACCACCTGTACTGAACTCCAGTGACAGTGAGGGCTCCCCACTTTGCTGTCATCACTGCAACCTTCTTAACATGGGATCAATGCAGGGGCAGCCACTTTCTCACCCTGATGCTATAATTACCAAATCACAACCATATCTCTCTCTCAGCATTCTCATTTTTGCTCTATATTGATGAGGTATTTAAAACCCTCTGAATGTCTTCAAACCCACTGACCTGGTGGAAACTATCTGAGTTACCTGCCTGTATTGAAACTGTCAATGCACAGGGTGTACCTACACCACTATATACAGTAGCTCTGTGTGAATCCATACCAATTGTGCTGAAGCAGCTCTGTGGGTTTACCTACATCACATTTACAGCAACTGCTCCACGGTTGCATTCCCATGCATGGGGTGATGGTTAGATATTTTATTCTCGTTTCATAACACTTACGTGGTGTCAGTGTTTCTTTCCACTTACCAATCCAAGGCTGGATATTGTTCAGGTCTTACTACATGTGTTTGAGGAGTCATGAATAGTGCTGAACATTGTGCAGTCATCAGCAAAGATTCCCATTTCTGA